AAGGGGGAGTGAGGGAACAAAGAGTCAGTGTGTGCAATCCTGGATGTTCATCATGTACAGCACTTTTGTCTTTTCTCTAACTCATGCTTGTGCATATTTTAGCTCACCTTTTTTATTTTTGACATTATTTTGTCTGTAACAATTTTACTTCTTAACTTTTACCATGACACATATGTGTGTGTGTGTATATATATATATATATATATACACATACACACACACACATATATATTATATAAAATATATATTATATATACATACACATATATATGTATATGTGTGTGTATTTGTGTGTGTGTGTGTGTGTGTGTGTGTGTGTGTGTAAAGACAGAGAGAGAGGGTAGCAGCCTGTTGTCTAGGCTGGAGTGCAGTGGTGTGAACACGGCTCCCTGCAGCGGTGTGATCACGGCTCCCTGCAGCTTTGACCTCCTGGGCTCAAGTGATCGTCCCACATCAGCCTCCTGAGTAGTTGAGACTACAGTCACATGCTATCATGCCTGGCTAATTTTTTCTTTTGGTAAAGATGAAGTCTTTTTATGTTGCCCAGGCTTGTCTCAAACTCCTAGGCTTGAATGATCCTCCCACCTTGGCCTTCCAAAGTGCTGGGATTATAGGCGTGAGCCTCACACCCAGCCATGACATTTACATTCTGATGAACCAGTCCAGGTAGTTGAAACATTTTCATGAATTGGAAATACAGTGAAGACAGAAAAAACAACAAGAAAAAAATGCAGTTTTTCAAGCACAAACAATAACCTACTAATCCATCAGCAGAACCATGTGTTTACCGGAATGTGAATGGAGGCCCACTGACCAATGCAAACCTTGGGCTCCCTTAAAAAGTAGAACACTTATTAAGAATGCTCTGGAATCTGTGAGATAATACTTAATCTTCCATTTCAAAAATGTACAACTGTACATCCATCAACGTATTTTCCTCTGAAGCAATATTAAACCACCTGCTAACCACTTGATTGACTTGGGACCAACAGTGATCTGAAGGCCACACTTTGAAAAGGACTCAGCCTTCATGCCAAGTGTCAAGTGATTAGTAGAACAGATGGTGTGGGGATGTTTGGAACCCTAAAATCACTAGCTTTTTAGTTGAAAGGAGCTATAAAAATAATCTAGAATAATGTTGAAAATTGTAGGCTGTATGACTCAGAGTCATGTAGGATGAACGTGTGAAACCAAGTCAAGCAGAGAAAGGTGACTACAAACCTGTAATAATAAGAGTTTTAAATGTCCCTGGCTTTGTTATTCAATAAATAGATTGCATGAGACAGACAATGCATTGGGACATTCATCACCCCACATGCCACGAGGACCAAGATGTCTGGCTGTCTCTAAGACATTTCTTCCCAAAGAAATTATTTTTCCAGTTTGCTCCCTACAATTCTCATTCCTATAATGAGTTCTCCAAAAAATGGACCCTTTAACAGTTCTAGAATATTTAATGTATTTATAATTATCTTAGCAAAAATCCTTTATTAGAGGACTCTTTTTGATGACTAGGGTAAGTTTCTCTGAATCAAGAAAATTTGGTTTAATGACAGTGAGGAAGGCTGGAAGCCAGAAGCTATGGCCCAAGTTGAACAACTTTATTAAGGGGTAATGAGGCGTCCCATTCTGTGAAGTAAGCCAGGAGGTACGGCAAGTTCCTAGAGCCCACAGTTCCTCCAGCAGAGCCAGGTAAACATATTTCTTCCCATTGTAAACATGCCAGTGTTCGTGCCATGTTTACCATGCCATTAACCAGTAAAAGGGACTTTGGTTGTTTTTCTGGGCAAGAGACCTGCCTGCCCACCTTGTCTCCTGGCTTCCTTCTCTCCAGTTCAGGTCCATCCTTGACAGGAAAGACATTTGCCCTGTTCTGTAAGAGGGCTCCATAGGCACAAGCACGTGTCTACCACACTTGCAGACACTCTGTTACAGCACGAAGAACAGGAGCAAATGAGTCTTCTGGGATGTTTCAAGAAGATTTATTTTCCATCTATTTTATTTCCTCTCTGTGGATATCATTTGAGGCTTCTTTTTTTTCCTATCCAATTTCCCACCCCACTCCCTTACCTTTGCTCATTTTCTTTGAAGTACTCTGAAGATCACGTGTTCTTGAATTCTGGTTCTGTCACCATCACCTGAAAGTTGCTGATACAGGGTGAAGACTGGAGGAGCAGAGCAAAGGAGCGGGAGAGAGAGAAAGGTAAGAGGAGCAAGGAGCAAGATGGAGACTTGTTTCATCACTTTTCTGTCATATTTCCTGCCAAAGTCAACATGTTTAACCACACTTTGCTTCCCCGGTTCATTGGGCAGCCACTCAGTATACAGACACCTGGGGGTCCCACAGAAATCATTCTTATCAGAATGTAATAGCCTTCAGCCCAGACAAAAGCGCAAGTCAGAAAAATAATAGGCTGGTGAGAGAGATTTGGCTGACTCTCGGGCAGGCTGGACCAAGGAGGTGGTGGAAATGTCACCTGGCAGGCTCTGAGGTTTTTCTCCTTTCTCTAGGACTGGGTCTAGGTCACGGGCTTAGTCGGTGTGTTAGGTTGCACAAAATAGACTTTCAAAGGCCACTATTGGCCTCACAAATGCCCTGACATCCTATTTGTCATTCTGCATGATGCACAGCCAACTGCCCTGTCTATTTCAATCAGCAAATCTGAGAGGACACGCTCTACAGCATATGCAGGGGTCCTCTCCCACTCTCTTTGAGGTGGATGATGGACACAATTCACCCTCTTTCCTATCTGGTCACAGCCATTTGTTCTAGCCATAATAGCATTATTGTATTGCATTCCAATGTATATATGCAATTTGTCATTGAACAACACAGGTTTGGACTGCGCAGGTCCATTTATAGGTGGATCTTTTTCAAAAATACAGCTGTCTTTCCATATCCCCAAGTTCCCCATTGGCAACTAAACATGAGTTGAAAATATGGTATTCAAGGGATGCAAAACCCACAAATAAGCTGTACCAGCTTTTTGTGTTTGTGGGCTCTGCAGGGTAGACTGTGGGATTTGAGGATACATGGATTTTGGTATCCTTAGGAGTCCTGGAACCAATCCCATGAAAATATGGAGGGCTGACTTTATTTACTACTCTGAGTTTGTTGTAAGTTCTTTTAGGTCAGGAACTTATGCTATGCATTTTCTTTCCCTAGAATCTAGCACTGTGCCCAGCACAAAGCCAGCTTTCAATGAATATACTTTTAATGACTGCAGAAAGTAATTAGTGATTATCTTCAGTAAGACAGCTGCAAAGATGCCCAATGACAGCTCCTGCAAGTCTTCACAATGGAATAAAAGAGTTAGGTGTTGAAAATAGAAGTTGACCAAAACATAGTCCCTCCACTCTAGGCATTCAAGGTCAAGAGGAGGAGATCAAGACAAGAAACAGAGAATTACAGCCACATAAAAAGTTATGGTGAAGGTTTGAACTGGGTGCAGGAGAGCAAATGCAAAGCTGGAGATGCTAAACAGGTTTCCTCCCCTCTTAACAATTCTATTTGTTTACTAGGGCTGCCGTAACAAAGTATGACAGACTGGGAAGCTTCAACAGCAGACATTTATTTTCTCATAGTTCTGGAGGCTGGGAGCCCAAGATCAAGGTGGACAGGGTGTGTGTCTCCTTGGTTTGCAGATGGCCATCATCCTGCTGGGTCTCTACATGGTGGTCTGTGTGTTGACACATCTGGTGTCTCTCCTTGTCTCTAAATGTCTTCTTATAAGGATAGCAGTCGGGTTGGATTATGGCCCACCCAAACAGCCTCATTTTAACTTAGTTAACTTACCTCTTAGTTCCTTCAGGCTGCTATAACAAACTGCCAAATACTAGATGGCTTAAACAACAAGTATTTATTTTCCACAGCTCTGAAGGCTGGATAACCCAAGATCAAGGCGCCATCAGTTTCAGTGTCTGCTCAAGGCTTGCTTCCTGGTCTATAGACAGCTGTCTTCTCTGTGCCTTCACATGGTGAAAGGGGCCAGGAAATTCTCTGAAGTCTCTTATATAGGGTCAATAATCCCATTCATGAGGGCTCAACCCTCAAAACCTAATCACGTCCCAAGGGGCCTCTTCCTAACACCATCAGCTTGGGGGTTTTGAGCTCAACTTATGAATTTGGGGGAAATACATTCAGTCCATAACAACTTTTAAAGAACTTATCTCCAAATACAGTTATATGCTGAGGTACTGGGGGTTAGGGCTTCAACATATAAATTGGATGGAGGGTTGGGACACAGTTCAGCTCATAACAATAGCTATGACCCATGAAGACCCTGGATGCTCCTCAGGCCTTAGCATCCCTGGCTCGATCATGTGCTGACTCTGCCACAACCACCACTGCTCTGGGCTCAGGTCCTGCCGTCTCCCCCAAAGTAGGCATGCCTCTGAGGAACATTGTTAAATGATGGGAAGTGGCCACCTTCCTCAGGACCTGATTGCAAATTTACTCATGCCATTAAATTATAGCCTTCTAAAGACACAATCAGTGCATGGAATATGACTACAGTGTTATAGCAGCTTTCCTCAAGACACCTTTTATGCAAATTCCTAATTTAAATAACATTACATCCTAACTCTGTAAAGCTGGCCTTGAGCATAATAATAGGCCAAATAAAGTACAGTCATGTGTTGCTTAATGATGGGAATACACTCTGAGAAGTGCTTTGTGAGGTGATTTTGTTGTTGTGCAAGCACCATGCTGTGTTCACACAAACATAGATAGCATAGCCTACTACACACCTAGGCTGTATACTATAGCCTATTGCTTCTAGGCTGCAAACCTGTAGCAGGTGACTGTAGTGAAGATTGCAGGCAGTTTTAACACAATGGTATTTATGTATGTAAACAGATCTGCACACAGAAAAGGCAGAGTAAAAATTTGCTATAAAAAATATAAATGGTATGCCTGTGTATTAGTCTGTTTTCATGCTGTTGATAAAGACATACCCAAGACTGGGCAATCTACAAAAGAAAGAGTTTTAATTGGACTCACATTTCCACCTGGCTGGGGAGGCCTCACAATCATGGCAGAAGGCAAGGAGGAGCAAGTCATGTCTTATTCGGATGGTAGCAGGCAAACAGGGCTTATGGAAAGAAACTCCCATTTTAAAAACCATCAGATTGCGTGAGACCCATTCACTATCACAAGAACATGAGAAAGACCCACTCCCATGATTAAATTACCTCCCACTGGGTCCCTTCCACAACATGTGGGAATCCAAGATGAGATTTGGGTGGGAACACAGTCAAGCCTTATCATTCCACTCCAGCCCCTCCAAATCTCATTTCCTCACATTTCAAAACCAATTAGGCTTCGCCAACAGTGCTTGAAGTCTTAACTCATTTCAGCATCAACTTGAAAGTCCGCAGTCCAAAGTCTCATCCAAGACAAGGCAAGTCCCTTCTGCCTATGAGCCTGTGAAATCAAAAGCAAGTTAGTTACTTCCTAGATACAATGGGGGTACAGACATTGGGTACATGTAGCCATTTCAAATGGAAGAAATTGGCCAAAACAAAAAGGATACAGGCTCCACGCAAGTCTGAAATCCACTGGGGCAGTCAAATCTTAAAGCTCCAAAATGATCTCTTTTGACTCCATGTCTCACATCCAGTTATACTGATGCAAGAGGTGAGTTCCCATGGTATTGGGCAGCTCCACCCCTGTGGCTTTGCAGGGTACAGCCTCCCTCCAAGCTGTTTTCACAGGCCCGCATTGATCACCTGTGGCTTTTCCAGGTGCACAGTGCAAGCTTTCAGTGGATCTACCATTCTGGGGTCTGGAGGTCAGTGGCCTTCTTCTCACAGTTTCACTAGGCAGTGCCCCAGTAGAGACTCTGTGTGGGTACTCTGACCCCACATTTCCCTTCTACACTGCCCAAGCAGAGGTTCTCCATGAGGGTCCCACCCCTGCAGCAAACCTCTGCCTGGATATCTAGTTGTTTTCATAGATCTTCTGAAATCTAGACAGAGATTCTCAACTTCAATTCTTGAATTCTGTGCATTCTGTGCATTCGCAGGCTCAACACCACATGAAAGCTGCTGCCAAGGCTTGAGGCTTGCACCCTGTGAAGCCACAGCCCAAACTCTATGTTGGCCTCTTTCAGCCATGGCTAGAGCAGCTGAGACACAGAGCACCTAGTCCCTAGGCTGCACGTAGTACAGGAAACCCGGGCCCAGCCCATAAAACCAGAGCATAAAAGTTTGGCAAATTTGTAGCCTGACAATGCAATAGAAAAGAAAATCCCATTTTCTGATGAGAAATCCAAGCCAGCTGCAGAAATTTTAATAAGCAGTGAGGAGCTGAATGTTAATCCCCCAGACCTTCTCTCCAGGGCATGTCAGAGGTCTTCACAGCAGCCCCTCCCATCACTTTTATGCTCTGCTTCCCTTATAAAACTGAATGCCTTTAACAGCCCCCAAGTCACCTATTGAATGCTTTGCTGCTTAGAAATTTCTTCCACCAGATACCCTAAATCATCTCTCTCAAGTTCAAAGTTTCACAAGTCTCTAGGGCAGGGCAAAATGCCACCAATCTCTTTGCTAATACATAACAATAGTCACCTTTGCTCCAGTTTGCAACAAGTTCCTCATTTCCATCTGAGACCACCTTAGCTTGGACTTTGTTGTCTGTATCACTATCAGCATTTTGGGCAAAGCCATTAAAAAAGTCTCTAGGAAGTTCTAAATTTTTCACACTTTCCTGTCTTCTTCTGAGCCCTCCAAACTGTTCCAACCCTGGCCTGTTACCTAGTTCCAAAGTTGCTTCCACATTTTCAGGTGTCTTTTCAGCAGCGCCCCACTCCTGGTACCAATTTACTGTATTAGTCCATTTTCATGCTGCTGATAAAGACATACCTGAGACTTGGCAGTTTACAAAAGAAAAAGGTTTACTTGGACTCACAGTTCCACCTGGCTGGGGAGGCCTCACGATTATGGCAGAAGGCAAGGAAGAGCAAGTCTTACATGGATGGCAGCAGGCAAAGAGAGGGCTTATGCAGAGAAAGTCCCATTTTTTAAACCACCAGATCTCATGAGACCCATTCACTATCACAAGAACATGGGAAAGACCAACTCCCATGATTCAATTACCTCCCACCGGGTCCCCTACACAACATGTGGGAAATCAAGATAAGATTTGCGTGAGGACTCAGCCAAACCATATCAGCTTATATGGGGCACCTACCATGCATGGAGCTTGCAGGACTAGAAATTGCTCTGAGTGAGTTAGCAAGTGAGTGGTGAGCGAATGTGAAGCCTGGGACATTATTGTACCTTACTATAGACTTACTAAACACTGGAACCTTAGGCTATATTAAATGTATTTTTAGAATAGTTTTATTTTTTCAACAATTAATTAATCTTAGCTTACTGTAAATTTTTTACTTTTAAAAACTTTTAATTTTTTTAACTTTGACTCTTGTTATAACAGCTTAAAACATACACACACTGTACAAGTGAACAAAAATAATTTTTCTTTATACCCTATTTTGTAAACTTTTTTCAATTTTTTATCATTAAAATTTTGTCATTAAGAATGAAGCTGGAGGCATCACATTACTCAACTTCAAATTATACTACAAGTTTATAGTAACCAAAGCAGCATGGCAGTGGTACAAAAACAGGCACATAGACAAATGGAACAGAATAGAGAGCCCAGAAATAATGTCACACATCTACAACTATCTGATCTTCAACAAAGCTGACAAAAACAAGCAATGGGAAAAAGATTCCCTATTAAATAAATGGTGCTTGGCTAACTGGCTACCCATATGCAGAAGATTGAAGCTGAACCCCTTCCTTATGCCATATATAAAATTTATCAAGATGGATAAAAGACTTAAATGTAAAACCCAAAACTATAAAAACCTTGGAAGACAACCTAGGCGATATCATCCTGGACATAGGAACAGGCAAAGATTTCATGACAAAGACGCCAAAAGCAATAGCAACAAAAGCAAAAATTGACAAGTGGGCTCCAATTAAACTTAAGAGCTTCTATACAGCAAAAGAAACTATCAACAGAGTAAACAGACAACCTAGAGAATGGAAGAAAATTTTAGCAACCTATGCATCTGACAAAGGTCTAATATCTAACGTCTATAAGGAACTTAAACAAATTTACAAGAGAAAAACAAACAACTCCTTTAAAAAGTGGGCAGAGAATATGAAGAGAATATGAGCAGAGACACTTATCAAAAAAAAAAAAAAGGCATGCATGTGGCCAAGAAGCATATGAAAAAAGCTCAATATCACTGTTCATTAGAAAAATGCAAATCAAAACCACAATGAGATATCATCTTACACCTGTCAGAATGGCTATTCCTAAAAAGTCAAAAAATAACAGGTGCTGGTGAGGTTGTGGGAAAAAGGGAACACACTTATACACTGTTGGTAGAAGTGTAAATTAGTTCAACCATGGTAGAAAGCAGTGGCGATTCTTCAAGGAGCTAAAAGCAGCCCTACCATTTGACCCAGCAATCCCATTACCCAGAAGAATATAAATTATTCTACCATAAAGACACTTGCACACAAATGTTCATTGCAGCACTGTTCACAATAGCAAAGACATGGAATCAACCTAAATGCCCATCAGTGACAGATTGGATAAAGAAAATGTGGTACACATACACCATGAAATACCATATAACCATAAAAAAGACTAAGATAATGTCTTTTGTGGGAACATGGATGAAGCTGGAGGCTATAATGCTTAGCAAACAAATGAAGGAATAGAAAACTAAATACCACATGCTTTTACTTATAAGTGAGAGCTAAATGATAAGAATTTATAAACACAAAGAAAGAAACAACAGACACTGGAATCTACTTCAGGGGGAGGATGGGAGGAGGGAGAGGAGCAAGAGATAACTATTGGGTACTGGGCTTAATACCTGGGTAATGAAATAATACATACAACAAACCACAATGACACGTTTACCTATGCAACAAACCTTCATGTGTACCTTTAAACCTATAATAAAAATTAAATAAAATTTAAAAAACAATTTTTAAAGTATTGTCAAAAAATAAAAACTTTTTTGTTAAAACTAGACAAAAGCACACACATTAGCCTAGCCGGGTCAAAATCATCAATATCACTGTCTTCTACCTCCACATCTTGTCCTCTGGAAGGTCTTTAGGGGCAATAACACACATGGAGCTGTCATCTCCTATGGTAACAATGCCTTCTTCTGGAATACCTCCTAAGGAACCTGCTTGAGGCTGTTTTACAGTTAAATTTTCTTTTTATAAGTAGAAGTACACTCTAAAATAATGATAAAAAATACAGTATAGTAAATACCTAAACCAGTAACAGATGTGTACTATTGTTGTGAAGTATTATGCACTGTACAGAATTGTATGTGCTCTACTTTTACACAACTGGCAGTGCAGTAGGTTTGTTTTCACCATCATCACCACAAACATGTGATTAATGCATTGTGCTACAATGTTACAATGGCTACATCACTAGGTAATAGAATTTTTCAGCTCCTTTATCATCCTATGAGACCACCATCACATGTGTGGTCTGTCATTGACCGAAACGTCATTATGCAGCAAATGACTACACTTCACAGTTAGAGGGGGCTTTGTGGACCTCTCTTTTACTTCAGTTTCCTTCTTACCTCTTCCTCACAAAGGTCTGCTGTTTCCATGCAGCCTTCTTCTTCTACATGGGGAGACAGAACCAGTGTGTTTACTGATAAGTCAAAGACTGAGGCATTAGCCTTCCCATGATGGTTACATTTTAAGAGAAAAAATGTATTTCAAATAACCTAATGTGATTATAAGGGTTGGTAAGTCTGAAACCCACAGGAAAGACAGAAGACTGGAAATTTCAGCAAAAGTCAATGTTGCAGTCTTCAGTTCAAAGGCAGTCTGGAGACAGAATTCTTTGCTCTTCAGGAAACCTCAGTCTTTTCTCTTAAGCCTTTCAACTGATTAGATGAGGCCCATCTACATTGTAGTGGGTAAAATAATTTATTCCAAGTCTGATTTAAATGTTAATCACATTGAGGATTTAAATACAAGACTTAAAATTGTGAAAAACCTAGGATATACCCTTTCTGAATTGGTCTTGGCAAAGAATTTTTGGCTAAGTCCCCAAAAGCAATTGCAACAAAAATAAAAATTGACAAGCAGGACCCAATTAAATTAAAGAGCTTCTACACAGCAAAAGAAACTATCAATAAACAGACAACCAATAGACTGGGAAAAAATATTCACAAACTGCACCCAACAAAGGACTAATACCCAGAATCTGTAAGAAATTTAAACAAATCAGCCAGCAAAAAACAGATAACCCCATTTAAAAATGAGCAAAAGACATGGACAGACACTTCTCAAAAGAAGACATACAAGCAGCCAACAAACATGAAAAAATACTCATTACAAATCATAAGAAAAATGTACATCAAAACCTCAATAACATACCATCTCATACCAGTTAGAATGGCTATTAAAAAGTCAAAAAACAACAGATGCTGGTGAGGCCACAGAGAAAAAGGAATACTTAACTTACACACTGTTAGTGGGAATGCAAATATTTCAGTCACTGTAGAAAGCAGTTTGGAGATTTCTCAGAGAATTTAAAACAGAGCTACCATTTGATCTAGCAATCCCATTACTGAGTATGAAAAATAGCTCATTATACCAAAAAGACACATGGACTTATATGTTCATTGCTGTATCATTCACAATGGCAAAAACCTAGGTACCCATCAGTGATGAACTGAATAGAGAAAATGTGATACATATACACCATGGAATACTATGCAGCCATAAAAAAGAATGAAATTATATCCTTTGCAGCAATGTGAATGGAACTGGAGATCATAATTCTAAGCAAAGTAATGCAAGAGCAGAACACCAAATACTACATGTTCTTAATCAAAAGTATGAGCTAAACATTGAGTACATGTAGACATAAACATGGGAACAATAGACACTACAGACTACTAGAGGTCGAGGGAGGGGCCCATGGGTGGAAAAACTACATGGGTACTATGGGTACTATGCTCACTACCTGGGTGCAATATACTCATATAACAAACTTGTATATATATCTCCTGCATCTAAAATAAAAATTGAAATTTTAAAAAATTAACAATAAATAAATAAATATTAATCATATCTAAAAAATATCTTCAGAGCAACATCAGACTAGTGTTTGTCTAAACATCTGGGCACTACAGCCTAGCCAAGTTGAAACATAAAATTAACCATCACACCTGTTTAAATGCCTCCAAAATCTCCCCTTCCAAGCACATGTTCCATGATCTATTGATCTGCTTGCATTTCAGCCTCAGCATGCAGTGCTTCCACCTCATCTTCTACTCCAGCAAGGTTGACCCAACAGCAACTTTCCTTTATATAGCATCCATTTATTGAACCAATTTAATGAACAAATACTTACTGAATACCTCCAAGGTACCAGGCACTCTCTAGGCACTGGGGACACCAAAGTCAACAAAGGCACACACTCCTTTTCTCAGAGCACTCACCTCTGTCAGTATTGCTGCACTCACTACATCCACAGACATGGCTGCATCCACATATTTCCCTTGCCAGGCAAATCCTATGCACCTGTCTGTATCCTCCACTGCACCAATCAGCATGCATATATATCTACAGTGTACCATTTTTCAAGGTCACGACACTAATCCGCAAAATCTCACTTTCTTAATTCGTTCCAAACCTAAACTAAATTTGTATTTTCAGCTGTCGTTACCCTTGGAACTGGAAACAATAGTGCCAATAAACGACATCTTTGGCTAATTTAGTAATAATTCAATCATTTCAAAAATAAAATTATTCCATTTCAGGAGGCTACCATTTCCCATCCTTTTTCCAAGCATGACAACTAAGTTCCTGGGAGAAAGTTTATACCTGAGGATTATAACTAAGTTATGCCCTTAGAGTGGGCATAGAAAACTCAGGTGTTCTTCTGTGCCCCTCTGGGCCTAGGAGGGGCTCAGGGACTCTATTGGGCCTTAGCTGCTTGCACACCTGG